TTACACTTATGAGTTCTGTACTCAAATGTCTTAGCAAACCATGGTTCCTTAGCACCATGGAAGTTAGTTTGTCTTCCTTTAGATATGGAGAGGCTTTAACTAGGTCAGGGTTTCTGATTATCATTTCTGTAACAGGTCACTTGTATTTAACATCCATAAATTTGTATGTGCCATCAGATTTAGTGGTCTGGTCATTTATATGTTGCTAGCTTGTATATTAGCTGTAAAAACTAGATTTGTTTATTTTTTTTTTTTTTATTATTCTGTCATAGCACTAATGGTGCTGGATGAGTAACAGAACTTTAAATATTATTTTGCAGTGTTGGTTAAAATTGTACATATTTTATGTGTTCATACATATGTATGCTAGTGTATGTATATATTTACTCATATATTTATTCTTATATATGTACATATATATATTATATAAACATGTTTGCTAAAACAGAGGAAAATACCATTAATCAAAAATTCAGTTCCTTCTAAACACATCTTTTTCTGCCAGATTATCTTGAAGAAGCTCTTGGAAAGTTTTGTCATTTTTCCAGCATGAGAAGCATGGTCCTAGCTGATAATTAAATCTTGCTTTGGTTTGGCATAATTTCTTCCAAACTTTCCTAGCACAATATATGTGTGGAAGCAGTTATAGGAGCTGTGGCAGCCTTTGCAAAGCTGCCTACTTTATCCCCAAGAGAGAAAGCAGTTCTTTCTATCTGTCTGACTGTCTGACCCTTTAAAACTTAGCAAATGGTTTTCAGGGAATGAAAACACAGTGACATTGATGGATCCTGGAAATAGTATTCTGCTGATGTTTACTAGCTGATTTCTGGCCAAGTAACTAGATAACAACCTACCAAATTCATTCATATGTATAATGATTGATCTCATGAATGGGAAACTGCTTAGCCTGAACAGACCTGGTTAGTTTAGTAGTTCAGGATCTTCACAGAAATGAAGTTATTTAAGAAAGGGGCAGGCATGCATTCACAATTGGTCTTTTTTCTAACTTTTCTTCTGAGATGACAAAGCATAGCAGATGATCTGTTTTAATGCTAATGATATGTTTAAAATTAAAATAACTTCCACAAAATTTTGTTCACCCGTAATCTGTGTCAGGAAACAGCATTCAGAATTTCTTGAAAAATCTTTTGCAAGGCTGACATTTCCTGTTTTTACAAGTAAAAATTTTCCTCTTTCAGAAGTTTTGAGAAGGGTTAATCAGGAAGTAGGACAGATAAGATGATTGCCTTGTGTGTCTTCGCATTTTTTTCCAAATAGGAAAATAAAATCCTTGGATTTTTTTTATTTTTTTATTTTTTTTAAATTGGCACGTTTTATATGTGTATATATATTTATATGCATGTATATATAAATATAGAGAAAATGCAGTCCAAGAGAAACTGCACAGGAGCTGTTATCCATGTTTGTTTTACTAAAAAGGAAGAAAAAAAAAAGGTTGAAGTGGCAATTCAGGTACAAAGCATTGCCTAGCAGTTTGAAACTGGAAAAGAAAAAACAATACATTCTGCTTGTGAGTTATGACCCCACACAAACTATACATTTACATTATTCCTTATGGAAGTCTGCAATACATCAGCTGAAATGTGCATAGCAGAACAATAGCCGATCTGGTGCCACAGGCTCAGATGTGAGGGAGGAGTGCTATTGGTTAGCTGATGTGTGCTGTGTATTTGATGCAATTATTTAAAAGAAACACATTTCATATGTTGATATCTTGACTAGGTGGTGATAATTTTTTTTAGAAAAATCTGTGCCAGACATCAAGAGTTTGAGAAACAGCCCTTTGTTTCATGCCAGTAGATCAAGTCTGTGAATGTATAAACTGTTATTAATGGCAAACCAAGGTTTAAGTTAAACTTCAATGAGTCATAGAAGATGTTTCAAAGAAGATGTAGCTCCTTTCCTTGATCATAGAATCCTTTCTCTTCTTCATAGTAGGTACCTGACTATGCAATGTTTTGAGAATCCGCTAACGTTACCACAAATAAAATCCAAGTCAGCATATTTAGATCGCAGTAAAAAGCAAAGCCTAAATAAAATAAAATAAAATAAAAAAGTAAAGCCTTAAAGTGCTTATATGGTCTTAACAAGGCTCTAAGAACTTCCGCAGCATCGTGCTGCTAGTTTCTGTGAATTACCTAAGGGAAAAGTGCTGGCACTATGTAGTCAAAAAAAAATTTTATCCTGAAGAATACATTCATTTTCAGAATCTCTGCACAAAGATACCATGAGTAGCACATCTTTAGATCACATATTATTGTCTCACAACAAATGTTTGCAGATAAAAATATTAGGTGGACTGTCAACATTCCCCGAATGGGAAGTTCTTTAAGAGCCCATCAGATTTGGGTTGACGTGTTGGGAGAGATGTGGTGCAGTCTCTGCAAGTTTCACTCCAACATAAAACCAATATTGCTCCTCACGTCAGCCTTTACCCACCTCCAAATACGCATTTGTCAGCTTCTTACTGACTTCACTAGTGGTGAGATATAGAGAGTGCTGGCCTCAGCTTCAACACTACGGGATGCTGAAATGCTATGGGCACACATTCTGTATAAATAAGGCACTTTTTTGTAGCACAGCTATAACTACCTTATGGACTGTCCAGCTTATTGCAAATATTATATTCTACTGTAACTCTGTGCCTGCCTGGGAATGCCTTCTGCATGGAGGTGGAATCCTTGGCTGACTTCCTAAATCCACACTGAAGGCCCATTTCCTCCAGTGAAAGGAGTGTAAGTGGAATTTAGGATGAGGATTAGTCTGTAATGCTGCAAAGGACCAATATACAATGATATTAGTTCAAATGTAACTGATATTTTACAATTTAAAGCTGAGAAAAACGCAGGTGGTTTAGAATGTTCGGGATTTATGATCTCTGGGTACAAATTATCACTTTTGCCAAGTAGAAAGGTAATACTGTGAAATGAAACGGCTCTTCTAGTCCAAAAATTCATGCAGCAGAAACAGAGGTCTACTGTTATTCTTCCCTATCAGTAGTGGCATTTTATATAGCACATTTTATGTAAGACATTCTTCATATAACTGCAGTTGTGTGCATTTTCAAATAGATATGTTACAGTTAATATTTCAGTTATATCTCACATAGAATAATGAATATTTTGCTTGAGTGTTGGTTAATTTGTGAGAAGCAAGAAAGTGGCTGAAAACCTGAAAGCTGCTGAGGTAGTCAGAAATGTTTCAGGTACATATAAGACACTGTTTTTCTCTCTGGGTAGAGGATTATAATGTTTTAACACAGTGAATAAGAGACTAAGAGCAATAATTCATATATCATTAGCATTTGTTCAAAATGGAAAATTATTTTTATCTTATGTATTTGAAAAAAAAAATCTGCTCTTGTTTGATTGGAAAAATGTTAACCTCAAGTTTCTGGAATAGATAGGAAAAAGAAATTTGTTATTGTAATGATGTACCTTATATGATACTTGAAATTTTATGAGAACCATTTAATTTGACAATTACAGACAAATGTATACAATACTGCACATCAAATCTAATTTTATATGGAATATTATTACCTGAAAATTGCTACTAAACTAGTAACTCAGTTGATGTATGCACAGGCAGTGAAGTAGTCATACCTGTCATTTAGTCAATGATGTACATGCCCTAAAGATATTAATAAAATTACATGTAATACTCTGTGAAGTCTCAGCTTCCACATGGGAACAAAATGCGATGTCATTACCATTTGAATTACAAATCACAAAGAAAATCTGAGAGTCCAAGTTCTGAGATTCAGACTGTCAGCATCCCATCCTCTTTGTCTGGACTCTGGACTTAAGAATGGTCTTCATTTCAAAACGTTTGCCTGGACTGTTAGATGTTTTTGTAAATTTTTAATCCAGTTTAAGATGATGGGGTATTTAAAGAGCACTCTTTTTCAAACTTTCTGAAAATGAAGTCAGTTAACTCTTCCACCTACTAAATATATCTATATGATTAGTTTTCCTTCCAGTGGTATTTAGAAAGAATGTTTCTGTACATTTGCTTTAAGAGATTTCATCGACTGCCACAACCTAGAACTTTTCCATTTATGGAGTCCTCTTTTACCTAGGACTAAAAAAATAAATAAACTTTAACACAGATGTACACATTAGGTAGCAGAGCTGAATATAGTTTTATGACTTCAAAATAATTAACTACTTATATCGCTGTATTGATGCAGTATTCTTACTTATATTTCATAGCAAGCTAGCTACAGTTAGCTAAACATAAACAGGAAAGATACCTGAAATTCATGGTTTTAACTGATGATATTTGTTTGGGTTTTCTCTGAAGCTGGTTGTAATTAGTTGGATTTAAAAATTAAATGCTTCTGTTGAGAAACATAGCGTCATTCGTGCCATGTCCAGGCAGCTGCCTAGGGCAGGTGGTTGTTTGAATGCCGTGGGCTGTAAGACACCTGAAAAAACACAGATTAGCCAGACCTGGCTGAAAGCGTGGTAGTCTTTTCATCTGTAGCTTTCGGTCACATATAGTATACAAAATTAAGAAGATATCTGAAGACAAGAGGTGGCATTACAGATGTGTTATATTAGCTTTTGGACACAGTCGAATAGGACTTATGCATATAGCCAGGTCACTGGAGATATTTCTTCTTTATCAAAAAACTATGAAATTTTAGCAAACTAGTGGAGCCAACAGCTTTCTCTCAGTAGACCTAGCTTGTAGGCTGTCATGGGGACATGGATGTTGGAGACCCAGACTGACACCTATTAGCAGTTATGTCAGGATATGTAGCCTGTGTTGGCATGACTTAGTGATATTACTTAATGGAGCTTTATGTTCTTCTAGAAAGGAGCAAAACCAATTTTTTAAAACAGTAACTCACTGACGCCAAGTTCAAAAAAATTGATTTTTATCTTAGCCAGGGACTTTGAGAGCAATATGTAATTTAAAATTGTATTCTTTTCACCTTTTTAATCACTCTTGGATCTCTTGTGTTTTTCCAGACTGGAACAAACGTATTGAATACAAGCCTGGTTCTGGCAGCATACCTTTGTTTCCCAGCATTCATCTAGAAACATGTGATGGACCAGTTTCCTCCATACATACAACCATTGAATTGCAGACCAATTACATTGGGAAGGGCTGTGATCGTGAAACATACTCAGAAAAATCTCTGCAGAAACTATGTGGTATGTACATGGCTTTCAATCAATATAACAATAATATTTTTCCACATAAAGAACCAATTATGACCTAGAAGCATGCGATACACAGATTTATCTCAGCTGGTTCATTTTTGATTGTAGCAATGAAAATCAAAGGATTGTTGATATTTAACTGGTGCTCTGTTCTTGTGTATTCTGTCTTGTGTTTTAGTCTTCCTCACTCTGCTTTCTGCTCTGCTGCTAGGTACTGTGCCAGAACAAAAGCAAACAAAAATAAAGGCACATTACAGGCTGTCATGCAAGGAAAAATATTTAAGAAACATAAGTTCCAGAAAAGAGGCATCCTGATGGAGAAAGGCTTCCTAATTATTTTATTGCCTTTTCCTGCTTTTGGTAACTTGGTCTAAAAGATACAAATTCATATTGGATGGTAGATTAAATGCTTGAAGATACTACTGTATTTTTATGACTTTAAGGGTTATGCATGTACATATGCAACGTACATATATTAAGTCAAATACTTTTGCATTTTGAAATCTACTCTGTCTCCTCTCCTCCAAAATACATCTTTCATGGCTTCTTTCTGTTCTGCAATAGCAAATGTGCATTTTTTTTTCCGCCGTTTACTTGTGTGGCTTTTGATTTGGGATGCTCGACTGTCTGGCTTACATGTATGTTTGCTTTGATAACCACACGACAGTGTATCAAACATAATGAGATCAATACACTAATCTTTAAGAAATAAATTTGCAAATGAAAGTTTTCAGCCAGTGTTCCCAAATTGTTAAAATGGAGAGCCAGTCCCAGGGGAAAGGAGTTTGCACTTATGATTAGCAACTACCTGTGGAGATTGGGAAAGTGAGGTAAAGATGAATTAGAGTAGTAGAATTCTCATAAAATATTTTCAACCTGCATGTGAGCTGGTGGGCTGATGTAGTGTCTAACAGTACTGCCAAACTTATGATTTGAACTTAGCATATCTGCGAAGGAATAGAATACTAAGCACTTGAGAAAACAGGATGGAGAAAGCATATATAAATGGGGGAGGGGTGAGTTCTCACTGATGAAAGAATATTTTTTTCTCCAAGGTTACCATATCTTCACAGAGAAGTATAGGCAGGGTAGAAACTGTTAATAGGAGTTTGATAAAAAGGTTATAAATGAAAGTGAACTTTACAATAGAATTGCAGGACAAGTTTGTTTTGGTATTTGGTATTTATTGCCATCCTTACTGTAGAGAGAAGCGGTTATCTTATGATAGCAGGTTAAATTATTTCTGGAAATAAGTTTTCTTCCAGAAATGACCTTATTGTATCTAATGGTTGGATAAATAAATTCTTTGTGAAGGAAGAAAACCCTGCACTTTTTTTTTTTTTCTATCAGTGAATCATCTTATGATTGCAGAGAGTGCAGAATTGAATGATCAGACACACATTCATCAGTTACATATAAAATGCAAGATTCTCTCTATAATCAAGGATCCAGTTTATAAATCCCATGCCCATTTCTTAATTTATCAGTTGGAAATAAAGAGAATTCAGATGCTAAGCAATAGGCATTAGAATTCATATGTTTATATAACTGATGGTTTAACTCTGCTTTTCAATAACCCAGTGATTTGTAGTCACTTTGACAGTAAAGATGGGCAGTTTTAATGATTAAATTACACTTGAATCATTTTAAAGTCAAGGAGCTATTAGTATTTTGCCTCAGAGCATTTTAGGAAGCATTTTTTCACCTTGTCATCCAACAATAATAAAAAATAAAGAATGTATGAAAAACTCAATTTGGACTGCAAAACATATTCAGAATAAATCTCACTATATATATATATATATATATATATATATATATATATATAAAAAATGAATGCAAAAGGAATTCCTTGAGAGAATTATGCTTTTACTTGTAAAACCACCACACCCATGCAAGTAATTTTATTTTTACTTTTTTTTTTTTTAACATTATGATTTTTTAAAATAAGTTTATCTAAGTTTTGCTGTTTGGATAAAATCAAGTTCAGTGTTTTCCCATTGAAACATCTGTGTATTAAGCAATGCACTGTGGTGTGTTATTCAAAATTAAAATTTGTCTTTGTTCAATTCTAAATGTGGAGGGCTTAGGTTTGATATTACTATCACTTCAAAATAACCTAATTTTAAAGGAACACATTTTGAACTATTGTCTAAGAAATGCAGTTACGGAATATGAATGTTTTCACATCATCACTATAATATATTTTTAAAAATATATAGGATACATTTCCAAAACATTTTTGGCATAACATTCTACACTCCTGCAGAGAGGTGGGATCTTCCCTTGGACACTGGAGGGAGGTTAAGATTTCATACTAGTATGGGATTTTTTAATTCAGTTTGTGTTTTTTCATCATATTTTTACCTGTCAAAGCATCAACAAGAATACACAGATTGTTTTTACTCTGGCAAGCATACTTTCTGCTAAATGCTATCTTTCACAGGCTAAGTAAAGGCTCTGGATACCTGATTACATGTTTATAAAAAGTGCCTGACAGTTGTTAAGCTGTAAAAAAAAAATAATACAGAGCTCTAAAGTACTTTGCTGTTCTATTAGATCTTGGTACCACAGTGTTTTCCATTTCTGGTTTGTTTGGCTTCCTCCCCGACCTCCCCCCCAACCCCCCCACAATTTAATTTTCACAGAATCACAGAATCACAGAATTTCTAGGTTGGAAGAGACCTCAAGATCATCGAGTCCAACCTCTGACCTAACACTAAGGGACTGTTAGTGTTAGGTTAGGTTTAGTGGGGACTGTTAGTGTTAGGTCTAAGGTTGGACTCGATGATCTTGAGGTCTCTTCCAACCTAGAAATTCTGTGATTCTGTGATTCTGTGACTAACAGTCCCCACTAAACCATATCCCTAAGCTCTACATCTACATAGGAGAACAGACCAACCCCCACCTCACTACAGCCTCCTTTAAGGTACCTGCAGAGAGCGATAAGGTCGCCCCTGAGCCTCCTCTTCTTCAGGCTGAACAAGCCCAGCTCCCTCAGCCACTCCTCGTAGGACTTGTTCTCCAGGACCCTCACCAGCTTCGTCGCCCTTCTTTGGACCCGCTCAAGCACCTCGATGTCCTTCTTGTAGCGAGGGGCCCAAAACTGAACACAGTACTCGAGGTGCGGCCTCACCAGAGCCGAGTACAGGGGGACGATCACCTCCCTAGCCCTGCTGGTCACACTGCTTCTGATACAAGCCAGGATGCCGTTGGCCTTCTTGGCCACCTGAGCACACTGCTGGCTCATATTCAGCCGACTGTCCACCATCACTCCCAGATCCTTAACAAATAAATGAGTGTAGCTGTGGACCACTTGTTCATACATGCAACTTACTTTCTGTAGGGGAGCTAATCTGAGCTGTGAGAAGCACATGTCTTATATCTATCATTAGACAAGAACACATGGAGTTACAACCATCATGTACCTGACAGAAGCCAGAATTAGAGTGATATTTTTGGTTTTAGGGTGAATACTCTGTATGCACTAATATTCATACCAACATTATATATGGCTGACTACTAGACATTAGGATATATATTCTACATTCATCCCCACTCTACTGAATTTGGCAACACATCATCTCCGTATACTATATATCTCCATGCTGTCAGAGAGAGAAGATATGAACTCTCCTTATCCGGATGTAGAGAACTTGATTTTAGTCTTAGCACTTCTCAGAATAACTGAAGATATGACATTAATGGATTTTATAAAATAATGAGAAATTTCTAAGGAAGTAACTTTAAAATATTTTTACAGTTTCTGTGCAATACGTATAGTCTACCAAGCTCTTATGGAATTGTTTTACTGGCTACTAAATAGCATGTATGTGATTTGAGAGTGAAAGTAGTAAGACTGTTTGGGAGGTGAAAATAATCTAAAGAGGAATGCATGAATCAGGCCCTGTGCCTATACTAAATTCATTTGAACAGCTCTTTTATTAGTTTCTCATTGTGTTCTCATTATGCATCATTTGCAGGAGCATCCTCAGGTGCCATTGACCTGTTACCATCTCCCAGTGCAACAACTAATTGGACAGCTGGGCTTCTCATGGATAACAATGACATAATTTTTAAATTTGATGGAAAGCAAGGAGCCAAAATTCCAGATGGAATAGTCCCAAAGAATTTAACTGATCAATTCACCATAACTCTGTGGATGAAACATGGACCTAGCCCAGGATTAAGAGCTGAGAAAGAGACTATTCTCTGCAACTCAGACAAGACAGGTGAGTGTCTATTGACAAAATGTTTGACAAAGGGCATAACAAAGTTGGTAGAATATTACCATTTCTTCTCAGTTAAAGAAGTTTGAAAAACAAATAATGAGCTGGATTTGGTGCCATCCTGAGAATTGGTTGGTGATTTGACAGTTTATGGAGAGGACTGTTGATGGGGACTGGTTGTTTTTTTGTCCTCTGAGTGTATATTGCTTTGAAGCATATTCACCCAAACAAAAGCGTTGATGATAGTTCAGAGTGCTGATCTTGTTCCCTCCTTTCAGAGATGAACCGACATCACTATGCCTTGTATGTGCACAACTGTCGATTAGTGTTTCTGTTGCGTAAAGACTTCGATCAGGCTGACACATTTCGCCCTGCGGAGTTCCATTGGAAACTGGATCAGGTAATTGTTCTTATCTATAACACACCCATACCTAATCTTTCCCTTCATCTGCTTTAGAAATCATAGAGAACAACCCAAATACTGGCATAATTATTTTTGAGGAATCAGAAGACTATTTCAGTTAAGTTGCAAATTCTGACTGTTGTGATTATTTATTGGGATCCACAGAAAGAGATAAATTAGTTAACTTAGTTGAGTCGTTTAATATAGTAGGTTTTTCATCTGAGTCATTTTAACAGTACATAGAGGTTTATATCCATTGGCAATGGAGAACCTAGAATCATGACATTGCATACAGTTCCCTAAAAGCTTTCCATTTATCATTAAAAAAAATGGCTGTATCAGCACAAAGGAAATGATAGGAGCCTTTACAATAAAGAGCATGCTGACATACAGGAAGCTATTTGTAATATATTTTAAGTCTAATCTGTAGATTTTTACTTTCATCTACTGTGCTGTATGTAATTTCTCCTTATTATTAAGAGTATGTTGCAAGGAAATTATTATTAAAGAGATAAGAGTTGTCTTTCAAAGATTTATTAATTTTAAACAGGATAAGGATCATTTGGGTGAAAGAGGAAATATTTCATCAAAGTAGTTATTTTCTCAAAGCGAGTTTCTTTGTGTCTTTGGGCCCAAACTGTAATATCAAAGATGTAGATATAGGAATGGTAACTTTCCTAATTTAACTTCAAAATGCATATAAATTACCACCTTTGTCCTGATTATCAGATGAATGCAATGATAAAACCATATAATTATTGTAGTGCTTGCTTTTCATTTCCATTAACTAATTTGGAACTGGTTTCTGCTGTACATTATAGGAAATCTTAAAGTGTCTAGAAAGGGTTAAATTTAAATTAGAACATATTTCAGATTACCAGTCTTGAGCGACCAGTGTAACCTCAGAAAATACCGTTCTACTTGCTGAAGATAGATTTATATTTCAATTGGCCGTGTACTAAACATCTAAAATATTCAATGGTACTACAAAGTTTATGTAAAGTGTTTTGACTTTGGAAAGCTAAATGCAATCAGCCTCTCTTCTATAGCCTCAGAATGGGAGAGTAACAGTGTCCTCTCAGTAATTGGAATTTGTATATAACACTTGTAACTTAGCCATGACAAAACACTGGAAACTGTACTGTCGAGGGCAATTTTCCATTGACAAGGGATGTATTTGACTGTGTGAAAGAACTTTTTCATCTCTATTACCATCTACAATTACTTTATTCACACTCTACTTTCTCCATATGATTTCCATACTTTTTTTAAATGGCAAAAATTGGGAATTACAGAAATCTTATCTTGTATCTTTCCAATTATTATCTTACTTTCCAATTATTAGCTTAATCTTATATCTTTCCAATTACTTTTTTCGTTATCACATAAAGAAAATATATCCTGAACTATTTTTTCATATAGAGATTTTTCTGTGTGCTTGGAATTTGAGTAACATTGATGTTATTGATGAGCAATACATGCTTTTCATATTTATATTTTGACAGCCTTATTTTCTTTCAGACAGTGATGCTTACCAAAAGTATCTCCTTCTTTATGTTTTTTTTTGTTTGTTTCTTTGTTTGATTTGGGAAATCTGTATGAATTTGAAGGTAAATTGTTTCAAAACAACATGTTAAGTAAGAGTGTGTGTAGTTAAGTAGAAGTGCTATTTTTTCTCCAACAAGGAAAAAAGAATGCCTTGGGAAATTCTACAGATTTTGATTTAAATCAATAAACCTAAGACAGTTTCACTAGGAGACACCTTCTCGGATCTTCAGCCAAAATTAAGTAGAGTCCCAAATATCTGCTGATAGAACACATTGTGATACAAATCCTAGAGGAATCTAAAGATTCTAACTAAGGATGACTGAATAACTCCTTGGACATAGTTTCACATTCAGTTGATCATACTCTTGAGGTACATTTCTGGAGGGAAGTTATTATGCTGAAGACATCTCAGCAAGAGCATATACTAAAGTAGTCCCAAGTAGCACTTGACACATTACCTTTTTTCATTTCTACTGTGTGATTCCAAACTGTGTATTTCATTGTCTGTCATTTGTGTACCCTAAAATAAGCTTTCAAACTGTAGCACTACAGAAAAGTTGAGTTGCAGTTGGGCACTGAAGGGAGAATCTTATTATTGAAAGCTCCTAGATGACAGAAGCTAGAGATAGATACAAAAGATTGATTAGGTCACGTTATTCATTTCATTTCATCTTATTTCATTCAGATACTGCCAATTGATTTCCACAGTACATTTTCAACTACTCTTTCCAGCTGAGAAAAAAATGTAAGATTAAAGTATGAATAAAGTTTGTTATGGGTTGGGTGACCAGACTTTCATGATGATTAATTTGTATGGTCATGGTGGTACTGCTGTGAATTTTGTAATAATTAATGGACTTGGTAAAGACTGCTCCTTTATCTCCTCTTAGTGCTTCTCTATCTGGCCTTATATAGTAATTTAACTGGAATTGTAAAATATATGAATAACGGGCTATTAAGGAGCTTGTATGGTTTTGAAAACAAGCTAGTCTGAACTTCACTTCAGAGTAGTAAAATTATTTATGTCAGCTTTTGTCTGTCTAGCTACAATGGTCTTCCCCTGAAAGCACTGGGTAATTTACAATGTATATCAAAAAGGAATTAACGTTCCTGTACAAACTCCTTGATCTCAATAAGAAAAGAAGCCAGGTTGAGTAGATGAAGTGCTCTAGACACTTCTGAAAATCCTATCAATTGATTTTTTGCATATTTAGATTCTGCAATACCTCTGGAAATCTCACCTTTAGAAGTGTCTATTCTGTAGTGGCAAATCTTCAGATTCCTTGTTTCCTGAAGAAAAGTATGGGAATTAAGCTGTATTTAACCATTGCTCAGTTTCTCACCATCTGCAGTGCACTGTGATATGCAATGCTATAGACCAAGTTGAATATATAACTGTGATAGTTCAATGGTTGGTACAAAGCATAGCCACAGTACTATGAAATGTGGCAGAGTACCTTATTTCTGAGCTCACTTTATGATTGTGACAACAATCCATAGCTTGCTTATGCTGAGAGGAATCTGGTGACCTTGGATCTGGTGAAGCATAAACTAGTGAAATCATTTATCATTGTTACAGCAGACTAGTAAAATTTATAATACCAGCTGCTTTGGCTCTACCAAGCCCCCAAGACTACTTATTATTTCAAGGCACTGACCAAGAATGTGACTTTATTACCATTCCAAATTTAATTTAATTCTTTAGATCGCAGTATTGCGGTGGGTAAGCGTAGCACACAGCTTAGTTGCAGACTCAATTCTTGGCCAAATACAAAGTGTCATGTAACATTTTATAGCTACACCTGAGCAGTGCCTCTGAAACGTTGTGATATGATACTGTGATGTATACAAGTGTCTCAAACCTTCACACAGTAGTGGCTGAGGAGTTAGCTCTGGAAAAATCATGTCTTTAAATCAGTTCATAGATCAATCAAACATTTCTTTTCAGTATGGCTTTCAGGGTATTTAGCCCTACTTGTTACATTAAACTGAATGGATTTTACTGTACTTAACTAATTTTTTGCTTATTGTGCTAAGCATGCGTGACCTGCAAGTGCCATAACCCTGTGCGTATGTCCCTTTAGGATTGAACTGCTAAGATATAACCTGCAAAAACTTCTAATTAGCAGAGTTAACAGACTTTAAACTGAAAGTGTCCTTGTAATTTATAAGAAATGTGAGAGGGGTTGGGGATATCAAAAATAAATTGATTTTTTTTTCCCACTTTCATCCTTTTGGAAACTAATCATATCTGTCATTTTAGTTGTGAGAGTGCATTAGTTGTATTTTGGAAAGAAAGGTGTGGAAAAAAAAAAGCCATGCAAAAACTCAGTGTTAAGTAAAAATGCATGCTGGATGATAAGAAAAAAAATACAACTGCATGGTTTTCCCAAGCAACTGCTATAGATGCTCAGTTAGAGGTGGTTCACTTTTACTCACTCCCATGTCCTTGGAAGTGCATGTAATCCTTCTTTTCAGTAAGCAGAATCATGACCTTTTTTCTACGTTTACCATGCATATGTTTAAATGGAGTATCATGAGGTATTTGTCAACATTTTTATCATTTCTTTTCTCATGCTTAATTATAATAAGACTGTTCAAACCTGAGTACCTATTACAAAAATTTGTCAACAAAGTCAGTAAAACACACCTAAATCATCACCTAATTTTCTGAGATCAGTAGGAATATATGTATATTTTTAAGTGAATGATTTAAGTAGGTATAAGTTAGGGCCATCTAAGAATAACACATGAAATATAAAAAGTGTCCTTGGTGATTTTTTTTTCTTTGTAGAAAGCTGTGATGAGTGATTTTAGGGATCTCTGCTATTGGGTTTCTTTTTGATAAAATGGGCATATTGTACAGCTTTCTCTTGCACACAGGAAATAACTGCATATGGTATAGTTCTGGTTAGGGACAGAGGTTTCAGAGTTCTTGACAACACAAAAGTACCCTTGGATACTGGGGAGTTGATCAGCTTCTTAACTCACATCACTAATCACATTTCCTTTCAGCCACTGGTGCTCTGTCTGGCCTCGGTTAAATTATTTTATGCAAGTATACCAGAACTGCAAAAGAGATCAGTTTATAATAGATTACATATATTAGAAATTGAGTTCTGTTGAAATTAGTGAAGGAATAATTTTAACATTGGCAGAATTTCTCCCTAGAGATGTAAAAAACAAACAAAGCAAATGAAGTCTTCTCACTTCTCTTCCTGTCAATGCAAAAATATTTCTGAAAGCACTTCAGGGAACTATGTTAACAGCTCTATCACGAAAGTTTGAATTAGTGCTCCTTCCCCTCATTGTCATCCTCAGCAAAAACTCTTCTGGTCATCAAACTTCTGCAATAAATGACAGTTCTCATGTGTTCTGTATTTGTGGTCAATAGAGTGAGAACTTTGTCCCTCAATTTCTATCTGTTTAAACAGTTTTCTCTAACCCTC